AACCATTCATAACCCCTTGGTGTATGCCTTTCTATCTCCATCTAACCAGGGTGGAAGTATATATAGGAGTTTTAGCTATAAAGGCAGCAAAATAAGCTTCAACAACAATAAAAGCAGTAATTGATAAAATAAAAGCGAACTCTAGCAAACTTGATTGGTACAATCTAAGTCATATTCTTGACAGAATCACAGGTAGATCTTTGTTGGTCTCATTTAGGGAAACAAAGAAAAATATACAAGTGGACACCATCTGAGATGAGAAGAGGGACCTAAGTAGACAGATTGAGATTAAAAATCAAAGTGTTTGTCAATGGCCTAAGGTGCCTCCACAAAGCTTGTGTCCCTAGTGACTGGGGGGAGTGGGGTGCGTGTGGAAGCAGTCTAAGCATTGAGGAACCCACCTATTGAATTTGGGCACTTTCAAATGAAGGTCCCAGACTGGCCCTGGGCAGTGAGTGGCGCTCAGGGAAGGGGGTATTCACAGAATGGAGACCAGGCATCGGGGCAGTTCAGCCTTGTTGAGTAGGTAATTCATGAGCAATTATAAGTATCCATGTGCTCTTTAAACTCATAAGGCATTTAATTGAAACTCCGTGTTCAACACCCTAACAAGGTTCACATTCTTTAATAGCAAAAAATTACAGATCGAACTCCTGAATTATTTATAGCCATTTTTTTTAATTCCAAACATGTATTTTTGTAAACCTGCATTTCCCAAACAGTGCAAGTGAATTAGAAGTGACTGCTTACACTAATACACGTGACTTTGTGAGGAGGAACACCCCTCCCACCAAAATTCCTCTACAGAAATGTACAGGATGCATCAATCAAGTTCTGGAAGTGAAGTTAGCGTGGGTGCCTGCCATGCAATTAATGACTCTCAGAGCTTTTAAACTCACTCTGCCAATCACACCGTGCACATTAGAATTTAAAAAAGACCTTAACAAAACCTAGATCATTCTGTTACAAAGCATTGCACCATGTGGGAAATTTGTTCATTATCCCTTCACATGCTGAAATTCAGAAGACATTCTAGAAGGTTCATTTGGGCCTTCCTGGCTCCATAGCTCCCTTCAGCCATTCTTTGGTTCAGAAAATAGTCTCCAAAGTATATATTATTGTTCTCTATAGCAAAACAAAACACAACTAAAACCCTGCATACTGGGGTATTTCTGAAATCAAACTCATTTTTGGCTTTTGTCTGCTAAGGGGACTTCTGCCCTATATGACAATCCTTCAGTGCCTCTAAATTTTGGGAAGTCTAAAACAGGTGTCTGTTTCACCAGGCATATTTTTCACATGTAACTGAGGCCTAAGTGTGTTCTCCTGGTTATAAGGCTTAAAAAAATAATAACCTGTAAAAACAACCACTTTGCTAGGGTCCAACAGGTAGCATGCAGCATATATATCACTGGGGGGAAGCAGATGAAGTGGGTCTACTGCACTTCCACACTGAAAACGGATCCCAGGTAGTCCCAGGAGTGTGCCAGGCAGCCAGCTGGCTGGCTGGTTGTTGTTGACTTCTTTCCCTTTGGCTCAAGGACTGTTATCTATACGTGACTTGATGGGGGATCTTCTACAAAGTTTACCAAACTTCAGAATACTCCAGGTGATACAGGTGAAATTTCCTTGAAGAACCCATGGAAGGCCTCATGATCTCAGCAGGAAGTGATTCCAGATCTGCACCTGTCAGTCACCACGAGGCCCCTGCACCCACACCCTCTTACTCATGTCCTCTTACTCTTAAACATCACAGCCCTTTCTTTGTTACAAGCCCAGGGTCACTCATTCAGAGGACATGCCAAACTCACTGAGTCCCATGTAAACTGAGTAAAGCAAATCATGTTTCAAAAAGGAGCATTATTTTACTCTATAAAAGTCCATTTTTCATATTTAAAAAGCACCTCAGTCCTCTGACAGTTAGTTAAAGCCAGAGTGGATATACAATCTAAAGCTGGAGCAGATGGAAATAACGCTGTGCATGAACATAGTTTATAGGATTCCACAGTGACCCATAGAAGCAGAAGGATGGAATTGGAATGCACTGTGGAATTGTAAAAGAATATTCTGGAGAAGTAACCCAGACACACCAAATCATTCTGTCTGCTTCCTCTGAAAGCCTATTGAAGGTTTCTGAACCGGATGGGTTGCTGGGCTGCCAAGCATGCTAACGATTCTTGTCTTCTTTCTCCATCACTGTGCTGAATGGCCAACTCCCTGGTTCGTGTAGCCCTCCTGCCACTCAGCATGACTGCATAAACAGAGGCATCATCCCTCCCCAAATAGGTTCCTGGAAGGGCTGCCAGTATTTTCTCCCAGTGAGGTCAAGTTAAAAACCACCTTATGAAGCTCAGCGATTTCCTTGGTGAGCAACTACTTCTTGCAGACCCACCATTCTGAATCAACCAGAGGCAAACAGATCCTGGCTCTGAGACTGCTCACAGGAGCCTGTTCTACTAGCATTGAGGCTTCCCCTCCTGGCTGGCTGAATTGTGGACCAACTTATGAGTCTTCCTTCATGTTGCCTACACATCTGCATCCTTACAGGAGCTTGGTGAGTGGCTACCCGTGCATTTAGCCAAAGCTGCTCATGCAGCTGTGCTGGATTTACCACCTAAGACCGCTAAATGATGGCTTAATTGACAAGGTGCAACAACACCCCAAAAAAGAAAAGTTACCGACAGGGTCTTATAAAAGAATCCACACTCTCCACTGTTACAGGAAGGTTTTCCTCATCCAGGCAGAAAGTGCCTGTGGTTTTCTCTGGGGGATCTCCAGCACCCAGCACCATGCCTGATGCGTATCAAAGAAGCCTTTTATTACTTGTGATAAAACCTACAGGCAAACTCCAAGTAAGAACTGGTTTCTTTGCCTCAATCTGCATCTGTGCCTCTGTCCCTCAAACTATGGTCAGCCTTGTTGACCCTTTGTTTCTTTTGTCTACTCCTGGTTTGCAGGAAGAGAGGCCAGATACAGTCACTGTCTTCCTGTATCAGTCAACTTTTAATAAGAAGCCAAAGACACACATTCCATGTCAGCTTTGTGAATGCCCAGCACCCTTGAAATTTTGCCAAAACTTTAGATCTGTTTGTAAGTATTAGTCAAATATGTGTATAAAACACCTGCCTCCTATGAAGCTGAGTTCTGTATCTTTTCAAAAATGTTCACAACCCCCCACCCCACAACCTGTTAGCTTCCAGCAAACAAGAAAGATGCTTGGTCTTCTCTTTGCTTTGTTCTCATTTGATGCCATCTGTATGTATCTGGGGTTTGAACAGGCTGTGATGAGCCATTTAGAAATCTGCCAGATTCTGCTCTTGGCCATTTTTTTTTCACTCTTTTCAGCTGTTATCCAGCAGTGATAAAGGCAGCCAGAACTGCAAGCAGTTACTGAATGTCCACTATGGGCCAGGTGCAGTGCTGAGCACGCTGCATCATTCATCTCATTGCTCTTTTAGGAAATCTCACCCTCAAAACTGGGCAGCTCTGTTCATTTGATAAGAAACACCATCAAATCGAGAGAACAGGTTTTATAACTCAGCACTGACATATGCAAGAGGTCAGGGGAGGATGTCAATGCCGTGCCCAGATCCCTTTTCATCATTTCTGTATGTACTCCTCCAACTTGGGAGTGCACCTGCCATCCTCCTTTATAGGATGCTCCTCAACCATAGGGACTACTCAGCCAGCAAGAAGTGAGAGCAGAAAGTTTACTGCTTCTCTGGGTGCAAGAATGTAAACACACATCTCCCTGGCTTCAGGTGTGGATAACTTGGAGGCATAACTTACCCCCCAGAACTTCCTTGCAGGACAAGCTGGAGCTACCCTCAATGCACCTTTACCTAACTCTCTGCCTATTTTTGTTCTGCACCTCACTGGTGGCACCTAGGAACACTTCCTTGTTCAGTCACTTGCATGCAAATCCTTGTCTCAGAGTCTGTTTCTTCAGAACCTCACCCAGGACACTATTTTAAAAAAATCAGAAGGAATCTGCCATTGCCAGTAGCTGGGACAGCAAGAGTGATAAGGGAAATGGAAGCCTCTGAGCTCAAATGACCATGAAAAGGCAACGCATCACAGCATTCAGACACACATCTTCACTAGTGAGCACTGAGTTAGTCCTCGAGGCGTGCGCACTTGGATGTGTGATGTCCAGGATGAGATGGCATGTTGAGGTTTACCAGATGATCCGATGGCACTGCTCCCAGCTTTCATCTGTTAATCCAGATGGAAGCAGCAGAGATGTCTGCTGTATGCAGGTGACACAGAACAGACTTGTTGCTATGATTCAGGTGTTCTGTCTCCATCTCAGTGGAGAGTCTTCCAATGAAAGGTACTTATGAAAAAACATACAGTTCATTAGCACGTGATTTCAAACTCAATCGAGGCAATAAAGATATGAAATGTCTCAGCGGTCTTGCCACATCCACAGTTTATACGCAGCCCTGCCAGCTGGGTGGTCTGATGACACAAGGTTTCTCAGGAGTATTTCATCCACAAGTCTTTTTGAACAGCAAGTTCCAAAGTAGAGGAAGCTGCTTTTCTTTAAAAATTTGTATGAATGTACATGTATTTCCAAGGTTTTGGGCCAGATATCAGTGCTTGAGTGAATTATATAACTATTTAATAGAAATAATAAAACATCGATACAAATATAAAGACATAATCAGTATAAAAGGCTTATATTTATAAAAATACTTTTAGGTAACAGTTTTCCCCTGAGGGTTGACCACGCATGTTGCATCCATAAATATTGCTTGGCTCTGGTAGTTTGCTTCCAAAGTTCAGAGTTCATCTTGAAAAGGACGTGGCGGAGGCTTGAGGCATGGGGCCTGGCCAGAATGGCTGCCTCGGTGGGCACTGGGCATGAGAAAATGAGGAAGAGAACAGCATCATTGGGGCCTCCGAAAAATCTGGAGAAGATTCTTTCTTCCAAATATGGAAGATACAAAGATCAAGGACAACAGGAGGACGTCAGGTCACGAGACTTGCGTGGCGGGTCACTGGTTTTTTTGGGTCCAGTCCCAACTGTCTTCGTTCTCTTTCCGGTTTTTCTCAGCTTCTATAATTTCTTTGTACCTTCGGCGAAAGAAGCCCAACTGAAAGGCAGAGAGAGGAGAAGTGGGTTAGACATGCTGGAGTCAGGCTTGTTTATCCCAGGGCAGCCTGGCCTCTGAGGAGCGTGGCTCCCACTCAGGGTGTCAGGAGGGGTCAATGGAGAAAATTCCTCCCCATAGACCGATTGAGAAAAGGCATTATGTGGAGCCACTTTTTAATGCACGTGGGTCTCCTGTAGGCTGCCTTATAATAACTGGTTCCTTGACAAGTGCTTCCCAAGCTGTGTGCTGGGGAACACTAGTTCCTGAGAGTGATTCAAAAGGGGTTGGGAATAAAGAAGGTTTGATGGTCAAATAAGTTTGAGAAACAGTCACTCTTTCAGAGACTTACAACATAGAGTAGTGAAGGTGGTAAGAGACAAAGGACCCGATGTTTCTGGAGCTTATTCAGTTTTCCATAAACTTATTATCTTGAGAGATATTTGCCATTGTGAATCATTGGATAATTACTGCAGCCACATAATAGGCTTCCTAGAGTGTCAGCAGTCTGCGTTTGTCTTGCTGTCTTCTACAGGGTCCTCTGAATGCTGTCAGCCCAAGCTGCGGGGGCACCACCACTGACAGTTTGGGCTTCCTACCACTGTGTCGCCTCTCCATCCAGAATGACAGTTTCCCTGCTCTTAGTTCTGATGTGACCTTCCCTTCTGATGTCATGTGGCTTTTCACAAACAGAAAAACTAGTCTAGCTTTTCATACACAGTCACCACAGATTGGACACCGAATGCATTTTTGGTTGCTCAAAGCTGTTCTTTCCTCCTGTGCTTGGCAAGACCCAGCAGCTGTGACCAGACATTCCTCCCTACATCTGTCTATAACCATGGCCGACTGGAGGGGGTGTACATATTCCAGCTCTCCTTGGTGTGACAGGCTTGGGGCACACGTGGTAGCAAGCTTTCCCAGCAGGGCTCGCCTACAATGTGGGTGGTTTTATAACACACCCTTTATTGGCGTCCTTTTCTTCCCTGTCTTGCTTCCCTTCCCCCCATCAATTTTTCCTGACATCATCTCTCCCCAAAATAACTTGGCTTCCAAGTCTCTCTTCTATTCCTTGCATAAGAAACTTCAAATACACATACACATTTGGCCCTCTGCCAGCAGCCCTGTTGCATGGCATGTACATGGTGCCACCGGTCCTTAGACTTCCCGGAGTTGTATTAGAGAACACAGGAGATTAGCAGTCTCTGAGGCCCGCTGCCCACAGAAAATGCACACGAAAAAGCTGCCCCAAGTTGATCACTGAGCTAACCCAGCTCCAACAGGCACATATCACTTCTGTGTTAACTGTGTCTTTGTCTTCATGCTTCTTCACCCTGACAAGCAAGAGCTCCCCTCCAAGATGGGGCAGCAGGTTAAGGGCCAGAATTGCCTTGCTGCACTCTCTTGCCACCTCCTAAATGGGGGCTCACTGGCCTGGCCAGGGATGAGTACTGTCAAGGGAGCTGCCAGGAAACACACACCCACATTTCCAAGGAGAACTTGAGTGTTCATTTTGAGTGGAGTCGGCAAAGTCGATGCAGTTTGAATGACTGGGAAGGAGTAATTCGTTTTTTAAAACCATCGGCAAGGGCTGCAAGCTCTGAGCCTCCACCCCTGTGGCCAATTCCACAGCAGACATTGAGTTCTCATGCCTGCAGCTCTGGAGGCTTCTTCTCAGCACAAGAATACTTCCTGATGCCTGCGTTTCTCTCCTCGAATGCAACCCCTCTCCCCTCGGCAAAGGGTATAGAAGGAGGGTTTGGCCTGAACGTTGTGGATCATTAGCAAGAGATCACTGTGGCCTTCAGAGTACAGCCACAGAAGGCTAGAAAGCAAACTAACTTAGTGGAAGTGGCAACTCGGAAGCTGCTGCTTGAAACCTCGACCTTCAAAGATAAAAGTGTGGTGACTGCGTAAATTTGGCCTTGTGCGCTCATTTCATAAGCTGACTGCAGTGAGCAAAGAAGCTTCTCTAAGACAACATGGTGGATGGTGTGACATTTCCGTAATTCCAGGTGACTGATTTTTAATTCCAGGGAAGTGAGAGGCATTTCTTGTGACACCAATCAAGCAGCATCGAGCAGCTACTCCTTTCTTGCTTTGTCTGGGACTTGAGCACCCAGCACCTCATCTGCACTTGGTGACAGCGACAAGTTGCAAAAGCTGCCCACAATCCTTTATTCTCCCTGTCTCCAAACCCTTTACAATGTGACCTGGAAGCAATTCCCACCAGGTTGTGGAATCTATTTCCCATACCTGATCTGCCCTGTGACTTGCCTTGAAAATTAGACGCCACGGAGGTGATGCCATGAAACGCTCTATCCTCTCAACTGGTATCCATATTAGGCCTGAAAACCCCTCCCCAAGTCCATCCCACCCCAGATCAGGCCACAGTACCTGTACAGGTGCTCTCAGAAACAGCCTCACAAGCCACGCCCACCCCAACACAGCAGGGTCTGTCCCAGCACAACCTGGGTGCTGTGCATTGGTCGGGAAGCTGGATACCACAAGTGTTTGTCCTTTGGATCCTAAAGAACATTTCTTAAAACATGAGCCACTCTCCTGACCAGAGGGTGCCGGTAGGGTGGGGTCCTGGGCTTGCACTGCACCTGCGGAAGCCATGCCATTCACCTTCCAGGCAACTCCAGTACACAAGTTATTGTGACTCATTCCAGCAGATGGCAGTAGAGTGTCTCTTTCTAACAAAGTAGGTTGATTTTTCTGAATTTTCTGACATGTGGAAGTAAAAGTTTCCGGTGGAAGGGGCACAGGGCCATTTACTAGTCTGCCAGAGGTGCTATATGGTTTGTCTGTGACCATGTATAATTAATATGTTGTTTATTACACGATTAAACTAACTTTCAGAAGAGGAGATTATCAACTTGGGCTTCTTTTTAGAGCCTGATTTTGGCTTTTGATAAGAACCCACAGCTCTGGGCCTTGTGGCCTTGCTTGGTCACCCAAATACCCGCGTCCTGCCAGGCCTGCCCAGTGCCACAGGGCCTGCTCACAGGGCCTATGCCCAGGGAGCCCCAAGTCCTGATGACTACTCACACTCCAGCTACCTAGCATGGGTCATGTTCTGGCTCAGAACCCTGCTATCTTTCTCTCAAGGGACCAAAAATGTTCTCAGACTATTTCCAGCTCTGAGATACTGTGACAGCTTGTTCTGTCAGTCCCCTAAGCAGACTTGGGACTGAAGCCCATGGGACACCCAGCTTTGTCTCCAAGGCCCACACAAAGCAGAGTCCTTGCCCCAAGTCAATTTTTTTGCAAAGAGCTTTTGGAAGACCGAACTTTCAATCTTTATGGTAAAGTCTATTACTTCATTATAAAAGTACGTGAAAAAGTACAGGTATATCATAAAGGATAAAGAATGACAACATTCTAAAATCATGGTCACTCTGGACTTCAGACCTGTCTCCTGGCAGCAGCCCCCACGGGCACACACCTCACTCACTAGCGCGCATAGTTACTGTGGGAAGCACTGGGCAAACTGATTTTTGCTGCCAGCTGAGCCCACGCTGAGGGTTCTGGGAAATGCTCATTGATGAGTTCAGCTGGATCCTCAGCAGCTTCACACTCAATTCCAATCCAATGGAGTCAGTGTTTTCCCGCACTTATTCTGGAACCTTCCAGGGCTTGCTTTGCCACTTGAGGGGCAAAAGGTTCTGTTTGTAACTCTTCTGTCTGTAGCAGAGGAAACACTCATAGACGCTCCAGAGAAGAGACTCCTGCCAAGCTTTGCTCAGCTGCAAGCCAGGAGAGCAGTGTGCCTTCTAGCTTTGTGTCTGCTGGTCCTGATGGAGCCTGCAGCCTGATGAGCAGCTTCTTGAACCCTCTTGACAGACTCACACAATTTTCTGATAGAAACTTTCATCAAAAAACTGCCACAATACTCCTAGGCAAACAGCAGATCTCCCCCAAGTTGCCCTAATTACAGAGGAGTTGCAAGGGCATATGGGGCCTACGAGGACCCCCAGCTTCTGGGGTCTGCAGTTCTGCTGCCCCAACATTCTTCCCAGCTCATCTGGGGTGAGTGAGAGACTGGCGACATGACTCCATGGGGTCTTCCGCTGACAAGCTCCCCATGTCCTCCTCCCTGGCCTTTGGGTTGCCTCCTTATCAGCCATGCTTTGCACACTGGACAAACTCCTTCTTTGGACTAACTCAGGGTCTCATGTTTATGGATCTCTTCAACGACTTGACTATTTATACAGCATGTCTCTGTCTGGGGATGTCGACAGCACAGCATAAGCCCAATATTTACTTCCAAACATAAATAAGCCCCCACTGAGTCTGGCACATGGTTTTCATTGCAACAGCGCGAAAGACGTTTGTGTGTGCACGCACATGTGTCTGCGCTGGGCGCTTTCCATCTCTTTGTGCTCTCCTCAGAGGACAGAGCTCAGAGCCTGGATGCAGGAAAGGTGATAACCTCAGTGACCCCTGGAGGGGCTGCCAAACTTTACACATTCTCTGAGCCATTTCACAGACTTATTTTTCTAAGGGTTTCTGCTTGAGGTCAGAGTAATGCTCACAAATGAAAACCAGGAGCCCAAAAGCAGCGCTGAAGCAGCACGCTCCTGGAACAGACCCAGCTGACAGAGGGTTCAAGGCGGGCAGCAGACACACGGCAGCCTGGCTCTTCACTGCTTGAGAAAGGAAAGAGCTTGCAGGCCCCAGGCCTCCAGAGAAGGGGCCCGTCCCAGGCTGCCGGGCAGCCGCAGGCCCTGCCCTTTGCTCCAGGCTCTCTCGGCTTCCACCAGGGGCCAACAGGGGAGAGAGGAAGGGCACGTAGGCTGAAGGCAGCTGCAGGAGACATGGAGTTTTTCTCCTTCATTTAGAGGTGGCCTGTGTGTTTTGGCAAACTGCACAGGGCGGTGGGAGAGGAGCAAGGAGGGTGTGGAAGGAGCGGAGGGGGTGGGGGGAGAGTGAAGGCTGGGGCCCTAAAAGAGGCTTTTTCTTCTCACGGAAAAACTTGCTGGCATCTTCTCTCTTCCCCCTAGATTCAAAGGCTGGCTTAAGGAGTGGAAGGCCCTTCTTAAAGGTGACAGTCACAGGCAGGGGTGATCCCCACTCGACCTCTGACAGTGGACCTCCCTCCTCATCACCAGTCTTTGTGATGGTCTTGAAAGCAGTGAGCAAAGGCCCAGGCAGCCTCAACCCCAGGCAGGAGCTAAAGGAAAAGAGAGGGGACTCATTTGGATTTCTCTCCCCTAGAAGAGTTTCGGATTTCAAAGTTTTCTCCTGCATGGTGGTTTGGCAGGCTACTGTAATCCTCACACATAAAGTTTAAATTATGGCTCCCAGTGTCTGCTAACATCCCGGCTTTGGGAAAGCTGATTAGGATCCATTTCAGTATGAAGAAGGGTCTGGTTAGCTTGGGGCCCTCATTGTGGATTTTGCACTGGAGCCAAGGCTGGCTGCCGCCAAGCATGAGGGAGTGCCTGGGGTGCCAGCGGGCGTTCCGTGGGGCTCAGGGGTCTGCCCAGAGTCAGGGGCTGAGCGGGGAGGCAGCTGAATGCCTCAGTGGAAAGAGCAGGGAGTTCGTACAGCGAAGGGCACTTGCTGACCCTAAAGGGGTTTCTGTATTAGATAAAGAGAGGATGACAGGTTTGTGAGTGGGACCACAGTGATGAGGGGCTGGTGATCAAGTCCTCCTCATCCCAAGAGTGTCTTGGCTCAGCCTCGGCCTTTGCTTTCCCCTGAAGGCTTGAGGACGGAATGAGGTTTCTGATCGGCTGTCCCGGGCCTGGTTCCTGTACTCTGCTGAGTGGAGGGTCCTGCCATCTTGCAGGCATCAAGTGTGCTCACCCAAGGCCCAGGGGCCACAAAGACTGCACTGGCACAGCCGGCCACTCTGTTCCATGTTCGACACCATGCCATGATTTAGGCCACTGTGACAAATAGTTGGGTACAGCCACTTTTGGCTCATGAGCTCCAGGCAGCGACAAGCAGCCACAGGTAGCAATGGAGAGCTACTCTGAAAGGGGCACCGAGAGATGGGGCTCCAGCAGGGGCAGGGGCTGCCTGTCACCCAGCTGTCTTTAGAGGCCCCAGGTGAAGTGTCTCCTGGCAGGAGTGGCCACTAGAGTACCACTTGGTGGCTTTTCCTTTGAAAGGAATGGAGGGAACTGTATGAGAACTGCGACTAGCCATCAAATCACAAGCCACGAAGACTTCCCCAAGTGAGTGTTAGGCTGGGCTTCAGGCTCGTCAGTGACCAGGCCGCTATGCACTGGGCTGTCCCCGGACACTGGCTCTCCAATCACTACACCTAAGGCATCTGAGAAGGCAGACACAGGAAATGGAGCTGACAAGTCTGAAGCTGAAGTTTTGGAAATATGTGGTCTTCAGAATAATCCGACATTTCATCGGCCCTATCCATCTGGTTAGCTGGCTCAGCCAGATTCTCTCCCTGCTAACTCCTTGCCGTTAGCCACAAATGCATCTGACCCAACTAAGCCAAGCTGTAACCCGCTGAGGTGCTCAAGGCGGGGCAGCGGCACAATCAACTTTCCTCCACCTCTTCAGTGATGGCAAGACGGCGCCTGGGTCCAGGTCGTGGGACTGCCACAGCCCTGCCATCCCTCCCAACCCATGGCAGAGGCCAGGTCTCCTTTCTTGGGTCTGGCTCTTTGATACACTGGGTGACCTGGCTCCTCCACAACAGTCACCTCCAGGAGTCACATTCTGAAACAACTGGAGCAAAGGTAAGCAGTGACAGGTAAGAGGAGCAGAAACATGTGCACCCCTGGGGAGCACAGCCAAGTGGGGTGGCCAGAGGAAGGGTGTGCATGCCGTATGAGAAGGGGGTGTGGTGCCCTGGGCTCCCTTCTCTGTTCCTGTCAGTCTCGCACTCTAGCCATGGAGGACGGTGGCCCCCTCCTTACAAAGCCTGAGCAGCAGGAAGCCTCTCTCACACGCGTGCACATACATACACGCACACAACCCCACAGCCTTGCCTGCTTTCCAATCCCCAACCCTGAACTGGTTTTGTTCTCCACCCGCAGACCCGAGGCTGTCTGGGCAGGGAGCAGAAGGGAGAACTAGAAATCCATCTAGCCATGTAAATTAAACAAACAAAAAATCGGCAGTTTTTTTTTTTTTAAGGTGTATCTACTGCTTGCAAATATTCAAGAAAATGGTCACTCTTGCTACACTGCTAATGGGAGGGTGACTGGGGAGGACCTTTCTAGAGGTTTTTCTAGAGGTTTTATTACATGAGCAGCATGTAATAAAATATGCACTTAACTATGCATTTCTAGAGTTTTGTCTTAAGGACACAATGAAGGATCTATATAAATATTTGGCATGTTCACTTGGCACTATTAGAGAGGTGTGAAATCGGGAGTCACCTAGCACTGAGAACAGGCCAAGGAAGTGCGGACACCTGCAGCCTTAGCAGCACTGGAAACAGGCTTTGCCCGATCTGAGAAAATGAAGATGCAAATGGTAGCCTGAAGTCTGGAAGATAAACTGATTTCCAATGAATGGGCTCAGTACATTTTTCTCCCAATGCCGATGTCTTTTTGGTTGAAGTGCTTCAGAACTCAAAGCAACCAGTGCAATGGTGAGTCTGGGAAATGTACAATCAACACACTGTCCCCTGTGTCTTTAGACTTCTTGGATCCTCTGAAATAGATTTACTTTACTTTTCCCAGCTCATTGCACTCACTGTTTTAAATTTAGAGGTAACCAACCGTATTGCCAGAAAATTCAACATATGATTCAAAAACGGGATGCTATTAGGAGAACACCTAGTCCGTGCCGACAGAGCAGAACTAAAGGTCAGGTGCTGGCGGGGATGTGCTCCCCATGGTGATCTCTAGGGCATGGACTCCTGAGTGCCTCACAACCTCTTTCTCTTATTGTGATGTCACTACTTATGATCGCTATTTTGATCACAGTAGCCAAAGTTAGTAGCCATTATTTTGCAATCCCAAAGAAATGATTTGGATTTAAAGATCCATTCAAAATAATGTAAGAAACTTGAAGCCCTGGAAAAGCAGGGCTGTGAGAAGTTCCAGCTATGGTCCCTGGTGCTGTCGTCAGAGCTGGGGACACAGCAGAGCAGAACAGTCCTAGACCTCACTCACCTGGAATGTCATCGCCCAGTGGCAGAGACACACTTCGCCTGACAATGACCCTGCACCACCACTGACCAACAAGCTGGAGAAGAGAGCGCCTTCCAGGTCCCTGGGAGGACAGCATGAGCCAAAGAGACCACCTACATTTAGGGGGCAGACACCCCTTGCTCCTTGAGAGACAGTGACAAGAGGCAGAGCACACAGGATGATGGCCCATCCCAGGTGCTGGTCTCCTGGACAGTCTCCTTTTCCACGCGGGGAAAGAACAGAGCTTCCTGCAGTTCCTTTTCTGTATTTTCCTCAAGTACAAGTAAATCACCCCAGTCCCATCAGTTTTCATCCAAGCACCTGTTTTGGGGATAGGCTCCCAGCACCCTATGTCAGGACTGGGGGTGACAGTATTAGGGAAGGGAGAAAGGGAGTGAGATTTTTGTTTCCTCTAATGCGACTCAATCTTCAATCATGAAGGCCTCGCGATGGGTCAGAATCCCATCAGTTGCCTAAGAGGGACCCTTTGCTGCACCTGTACCACAAAGGCATCCCAAAGGGAAGCTCTTCCAGGGAGAGCCTGGTGGGGGCCACACGGCCTGCTCTTGCCAGACTCACCTTCCAGAGCAGCACGGCCAGCAGCAGGAAGATGAGGATTCCCACCAGCAAACTGATGGCGATGATCCATCCCACGACGTAGCCACGGGGCTCCAGGTTGTGCAAGGCCTCGAAGACCACCTAGGAGGCAAAGCCCATGTGAGACAGTTGTCCAGGTGGAAGAGCCTGCAGGTGGGGAGCTCACCAGGGCTTAACATCCGAGCCAGTTCAGACTCTTTAGTTGTTCTTGAAACAACTAGGATTCTGTTGAATCCTTCCCTGGCTGTAGATGGATAGATTTTTTTCACTCAGATCTGAAAAGTCACTGGGCAACCAAGCTGTAGTACTGAAAAGAGTTCTAATGATACAGATGATTTAAAAACCTGCAGGAGTTGGTGAAAAACTTAAAGAGTACACTGTGTTTTTGATCACAACAGATCACAAGTCTCTCTTTAATGAAGGCTGTGACTAAGAAGACGTGCCCTCCATATAAGACAATGCTTCTGCCCTGGGTTGGCTCCATGTGTGACTTAGTGATTGGCTGATGAGTGCCAGTGCCTCGTAGTGGGTAGACTCCATGGGGAAGGATGCAGTCTGCTGGTGGATGCAGGGCAATGCCTGTCACGCTGACGCTACTCCCTCAAGGAACCGTGTTCTGGCTTCTAACTGGGGCCATAAGCAGCTACAGCCATGTCTTGCTGAGGCAAATTTTCACAAATTTGAAAAGCACTTTAGGGGGGAGGAGGGGAGAGGCAGAAACAAAGAAGAAAGGAAGCACCATGGACTACGATGTTGGACGGTGGGTGACTTAGAGATGGTTCACTACAGTGGTGATGCCTGACAGGGGTATCCAAGTACTGCTCAATTAAAAAGAAATTAATTAAAAGACATATATTAAGGTAATGTATAAGACATAGATTTCTTGGTCTGAGGTGAAACTGACTTTATATTTTAAAAACTTATTATTTTTTTAAATTGAGGTTAAAAGTGCAGTAGAACATTACACAAATTTGGGGGTGTGTCAGTGAAAAGCAACATATCTATGTACTACCTTAAATTTTCCCAACTTTGGCAGAAGCTCTATGGTGTCTTGACACTGGCTCACAGAAGCACATAAGAGCCAGCTGTATGCATCTCTTCCCAAGTCCTCATCTGTCACTGCCGTGGAAACTTGCAATGGGCCATGGCAAGGTATTTACACCACAGAAATTGGCAAACAAATCACCTCCCCCACCCTCAGCCAGGGAACTGACTGTTAACATGTCCGAGTTCAAAGCTGCCCTCTGCTTTAATACCCAGTGGTTGCCCTGGAGTTTGGCTTTGTAGAAGTCAAAGCATCATTGTGTCCTCTGCTGCCAGATCACGTTCCCTACCACCCACAATGTGCCACTCAAGCTCCTCACTGCTGAAGAGGCCAAAGCCCGAGTCATGGCGGTCACTGCCTTTCTTGGCTGGCCCACTCACGGTCTGGAATGCCCACCTCCTCGTTGGGGAAGGTCTAGCTAAACTCAGCTGCATCCTGAAGGCCAGATGATAATATTTGGCCTTCCCAGAAGCACTGCTGGTCACAGAGCTCAAACCCTGCCCCTGTTCATGCCTCAGCATTGAAGGACACAAGGCTGACTTAGATGCTGCCTTCACTGTTTCTATGGCCTTCTTAGGAACTGGCTCCCATTTCTAACACTTCTTGAAAGCTGCTCTGTGTTGGGCTGTGGGCTTTTCTTACAACCTCTTGTCTAACCCCTAAGGTATTCTGCACCCAATTTACAGAAATCAGAAAGGAAACGGGCAATGTAGCTTCAGTCAGAATCAGGATTTGAACTCTAGCCAGGTTTGAGCTTGTTACCTACCACACCACAGCACAGCTGGCTGACAGGGGTCCTATTTGACCAGATGTTGATTAAATGAATCATTTGCTGTCTCCTTCCTGGTGATAAGGAAGGCAGAAGTGATAATCTATCACAATGCTCCCCACAGCTGCAGCAGAAGAGGTGTGAGTGTGCTGGGGGCAGGGCAAAGGCTGCCACTGATGAGAAAGATGGACTGCCACTGCTTCACCTGCAGATCCTGAATCCTGAGCATCATCTCAAGGGAAATTAAGCAGAGCAGAAGCCATGCTTTCCCACGTGGTGACGAAAGAGAACACAAAGAATTCAAGGGGAGAGTACATGCAGAGCCACAGCATAGCCTCTCGCAGGCTCGACCCTCAGCAAAAGGGGGATGCGCCTTCCATAGCAGCATGCTCATCGCTGGCAAGGTGGTTCAGGAAATTATGAAATTTTCTGAAATTATGCATGGTTGGCACACAGCTCACTGAATCTTCACACACTGAACACTACATGCACCTGTGTAACCAGCACGCAGATCAAGATACAACTTGACCACCTTCCCAGAAGCCCTCTACCACCCCTATCAAAGGCAATCACCACCCTGGCTTAGAACAGATTAGAATTAGCTTTGCCTCCTTTTGCCCTCAGTCTAACTGGAATGAATCGGCACAAACTACAGCATCTGGCTTCCTTCTCTGTAATGTTTAGGGCTTCATCTAGTTGTAGCATGTCTGTTCTCACTGCTGTATAATGTTCCACTGTGTGACTGCCTTACGATTTAATTATCCATCCTACCTTTTTGGAGGCTATACCAATGTATGATTTACAGGTACTAGGCAATCCTGAAGGAGGAATACTTGGGGTGGGAGGTGGTAGAACAGAAACATCACTAAAATCTGTCCTTTTAGGGCCCTCCCTGGTGGGTTAAAGCACAGCACTAAGAAGCTAAAGCTACTTCAGCATGAGTTTGATTCCTGCCCCGAAGTGATCCACATGGCGTGGCAGACCTCTCCTGACCCGCCCGCTGCTCCCCACAGCAGTGTACTTTGACCGTCAGCTTGTTCTATTCTCCACTCTGTCTCTGGTGAAGCCTCTCACTGCCTTTGCACCTCTGGCCTGTATTCCAGTTCTGAATGCATAAATAAATATTTTTAAAAATCTGTCCTTTTAGATTTACTACTTTCTATCAGATTTAGACAAGAGATTCTTATCTTTAAAAACAGACATTCATATATTTAGGTTTGCCCCTTAAAGGCTATGGATCAAATTACCCCCCACATTTACAGCCTCTCTCAAGGTGTTTTGGACAGATGAACTATGAGGTGCTATGGTTGCGAGATGCAATCAGATACTATAATTAGTTTCTTCCTCTGTAAGATGGGAACAGGAGAAGCAAGAGGGTTTGGTGAAAGTACCAGGCTCACAGGCATAGAGTAAAAGTCTGCTAAGCATTATTACTGACAATGAAGTGCTGAGCTCATCGGGGGTCAGCTGTTAAGACCAGCTGCCTGACCCTTGGTGTCTGCAATCTGCATCCTGGCAAAGCCACGCTGGAGGTCTGGTTTGCGGACAGAGACAGTGAAGAATATCTGCTACAGTTTAGTCTAGTACATTCCACAAGAATGCCCTGTCGCTCTCCGGAATGTGTGCTTAACCTTTGATTATTTTTGGTGATTTTGCTCATCTCAGATGCGTGCTTTACGCTCCGGCAGAGCTGGTTCCTGCACATCACAGCTCCAATAAACTCACTTGTAGTGGATGACCTGGGCATCCTGGAGAATCACATCTCACACAAAAATCCAGCGGGAGAAGCACAGCAAGGACTACACATACAGTCAAGAAGGACTGACGACCAGTGCTCGGCTTCACTACCAATGAGCGGGGGGATCCTGGCCACATTCCTGTCTCGCTTGAAATGAGTATGATTCTGTCCACATCAGAAAAGAGTGGGACTTGGGAGTCCTCAGTATGTGTTTCTTCTTTCTACTTCAAAAATATACTTGTCAATACTATCTCTTTATGAAAAGTCCAGTCCATTTGTCTATCTGTCATTCTGTCTGTCCATCTATCCATCCATTTGTCAATACATTCATTCACCCACCCACCTAAGAGTCTATTCATCCATTTAGTAAATGTGTATTTGCCCCATTCTATGTCAGGGACTGTGGGGTCACTGATGAATAGAACATGCAGTTTTTTCCTCATGGAACTTCTGGTTTGTTAAGAATACTGGCAACTTAGATATATAAATGCAACATTATAAGTCTGGAGAGTTCCCCAAGGATAGGAATAATTCTGAGGGCATAGCAGTCAGAATGAGTTCCTTGAGGAAGTATCGAGCTGTGGGTTAAAGAATAAGAAGGGAACCAGTCAAAAAGTTTGAGGGAACATCATTCCAAGGAGAAAGAATAGCATGTACAAAACCCCTGTGGCAGGAGTGAGCTTCATAGGGGTGAAAAGTTGGCTGCAGACAGGGGGGTTGGGGCAATCAGAATGAACAAGGAGAAAGGGAGATGATCAGGATGTGACTGGAGAGATATGAGGGAGGGCAGGAGGCCATGTTAGGAATGACGGGCTCTGGCTTTTGTTAGTTGATGTTCTTTTTACTGTGTGTATTTTTTCCCATGATCCTTTACACTCCTGCTATGAGTGAAACCATATGGTATTTCTATGGGGGAGGAGAGAGGAGCAAGATCAAAATAGGAGTGGGGGGCACTCCCTGGTGGCGTAGTGGGTTAAAAGCACAGCACTAAGAAGCTAAAAGCACTTCAGCTTGAGTTTGATCCCCGCCCCCGAGGTGACTCACATGGCGTGACAGACCTCTCCTGACCCGCCTGCTGCTCCCCTCAGCAGTGTACTTCGTCAATCTGCCTGTTCTTTTATGAAGTCTCTCACCACCCCTGCACCTCTGGCCTGTACCCCAGTTCTGTGTGCATAAATAAATAAATCTTAAAAAAAAACTGCTTTAAAAAAATAAAAAAAAATAGGGGTGGGAAGAGCACATGGGACTATGGTGATGGCACATGGGTGAAGTGATGGTGGGAAGTCCACGGGGATTATAGCTGAGATGGAAAAAGGCACAACATGAAGAATAACATAAAAAATATAAAATAATAATGATAAAGAATGATGGGCCCTCCCTGGTAGTGCAGCAGGTTAAAGCACAGCACTAAGAAGCTGAAGCCACTTCCGCATGAGTTCGATCCACGCCTGCCCCGGAGGTGACCACATGGCGCTGGAGACCTCTCCTAACCCGCCCGCTGTTCCCCTCAGCAGTGTACTCGACGATCTGCCTGTTTTGCTTCCCACTCT